TTAGGTCTTATGTTCAAATCTTTAATCCATTTTGAGTTGATTCTTCTGTATGGTATAAGTGGCCCAGTTTTATTCTTTTGTATGTGGCTGCCCAGTTTTCCCAACACCATTTATTAAAGAAACCATCCTTTTCCCCATTGTGTATTCTTAGCTCCTTGTCATAAATTAATTGACCATATATGTGTGGGTTTATTTCTGGGCTCTCTATTCTCTTCTGTCGATCTGTGTGTCTGTTATTTCTGAAATATGTCTCACCATGTAAAATGGATAAGCCTCTTGCTACCGCCTGCTTGGTTTCATTTTTTCAGCTGCTGCCTTTGCTTCTATATGGACTGCTGACACGCCCTTCTTATTGAGAGAATGATTAGCACTCCCCTGTGGTTTGAGACAACTTATAGCTACAAGATATTAGAGAGAAACTGGCACCTAGGTGGGATGGTTCTGAAAATGGTAGGATTTGGGGAGGTACAGGGGAGGTATAGGATTTGGGGAGGTACGCAGGTGATCAACAACTTTTGAACAAAAAATGGAGCAAAATGTATTGCACCTAAAGCCTTTTTATGTTTTTAATTTTTATTTTTATCAAAGTAGTAATAAAGACTTCTGTGCTATAACATTCTCTGTTTGAGGATTTCAGCTGCTTGGAAAAAGATATATTTTTTTAAGATTTTATTTATTTGTGGGAGAGAGCGAGAGAGCGAGAGAGAGCACAAGCCAGGGGGGAAAGGGAGAAGCAGACTCCCCATCGAGTAGGGAACCCAATGCGGAGCTCAATCCCAGAACCCTGGGATCATGTCCTGAGCCGAAGGCAGACGCTTAACCAATTGAGCCACCCAGGCATCCCAGCTGCTTGGAAAATGAGAGTATCATACATGTGTCATTTAAAAATATAACTTCTAAGTTTTCATAAACAATATGATAACATTAGTTGTACATGAGGTGGATTTGGGTAGGTTTTTTTAAATTTATTTATTTTTTAGAGAGGGAGAGCACATGTGGGGTTGGGGGAACGGAGGGAGATGGGGGAGATGGAGAGAATCTTAATCAGACTGTGCACTGAGTGCGGGGCTTGATCTCACAACCCTGAGATCACAACCTGAGCTGAAACCAAGAGTTGGACGCTTAACTGACTACACCACCCAGGTGCCCCTTAGGTGGGGTTGTTTTTGTTTGTTTTTTGTTTTTTTGAGGGATTGTCTGTGGCCAGTGTACTTTTTGAATTTTTGTACCAAAGCTTAGCATTTTACTGTTTCTGATTGTATTTTCCTGCCTAATAAAATAAATACTATATGTATTATTTTAAGTCTGTTTATCTGAAACCCAATACCTGTTTCCTTGTTTAAAACCGGAGGCATTAGATCTTTTCAACTTAGGTTATTTTCTCATGGATAATCTAGTAAAGCTAAAGACACCATGATTGAAAGTCACTGAAACTTAATTAAAATAATATTTCCAAGGAGAGGCCAATAAAATGGCATAGGTTTCCTGTGGCCTCAGAGTCACTGTTCTCTTCTAGCCAACATTTGGGAAATGCTAGCGCTCATAGGAATGCAGAGTTATATAGTGGGAAGAACAAGAACTTGGGTTTCAGGCAGATCAGGGTAAACTTGGGCAAAGTCTTTGAGTCTCGGTTCCTTTATCAATGAAATGTCTCATGAGATCCTTTGAAAGTAAACCATTACATAAAACCTGGCCACTTAGAAGGGGCTTAATAAGTATGAGTTATCTTCTGTTCTCCCACTCCCATTTCCACAAACCTACCTACTGTGTGCTTCTGCTTATCACTAAAAGGAAACTTGAAAAAGAGAAAGTTGGTGGTCTCATCCTACTTTCAACATCAGTTAAACATATATAACTATATTGCTTTTTTGTGTGTACAGGGTTTAACATTAGTGGTTCTTAATGATCTCTGCATGTTACATGTGGTCCATGTGGCCATATTTTCCAAACCAAAAAATTGGTTTGATGAGTATAGTATACTCAGAGGATCAAGAGAACAGCATACTTTTTTTTTAAGATTTTTTTTTTTTTTTAAGTAATCTTTACACCCAACATGGGGCTCGAACTCACAATCCCGAGATCAAGAGTCGCATGCTCTACCGACTGAGCCAGCCAGATGCCCCTAGAGATCAGCATATTTTAAAATAGTGCAGTCTTGGGGAAATCCTAGATGTGCTTTTATGTATCCTGAGGAAGCAGTACAAAGTCATGGTGAGGACTGGAATTCTTTGGAATCCTTTGGACGTGACTTCAAATCTTGGCCTAGGCACTTTCTACTTTCCTGCACAAGTTACTTAGCCTTAACCTTTCTTTCTAAACTTTAGCATTTCCTCATTTGTAAATGGGTATAACCAGAGTTCCTTGTCTCATGAGGATTGCATGAGATAAACGACTCAGCACAAGGCCTGGCAAGTAGTAAGTACTTGACATATAAATGTTAACTGTTGTCATTATTATGAGGCCTTTGAAACAGGTGCACCTTTTTTGCAAAAGCCTGTAGAAGAACAAAAACTTCTAAAGTAACTCAGTATTTCGTAAATTACTGCATAATAACTTCTTTATTAGGCCTGCTATGGGAAAGGCACAGAAATATTTTGAAGACCCAGTGCCCAACTTGGCATGCCCCTGGGGAAGACCCTGACTTTCTCACAGTATTTGAATAACTCTAAGCACCTATTCTCTTGCCTCTAAGATGATCTCTTCAGAGTATGGATATTTTTTGGTTCATATTAACTTGTATTTGTTCCAGAAGTAGGACAGACTTTAGCATTAACTTAATCCACTACGAGGCTTCTTTCCCTAAGATTGTCTTGATTGTGCCCTCCTCAGGTTGTTGGCTTCATCCTCAGGCCAGCAGCAAAATAGCTGTGGCAGTTCTGGGCCCCAGATCCATGTATGGACCCATCAAAGGAATTAAAGATTCTTTCTTCCCGTGTCCTCCTAAGTGAGAATTTTTCTCAGAAGTTCCCAGAATAGAGATGCCTGGGTGGCTCAGTCGTTAAGTGTCTGCCTTCAGCTCAGGTCATGATCCCAGGGTCCTGGGATCGAGCCCCGCATTGGGCTCCCTGCTTGGCAGGAAGCCTGCCTCTCCCTCTCCCACTCCCCCTGCTTGTATTCCTGCTCTCGTGTTCTCTCTCTCTGTCAAATAAACAAATAAAATCTTTAAAAAAAAAAAAAAAAGGAAGAAGAAGAAGTTCCCAGAATATTAATCCTAGAATCTCATTGGCCTGAACTGGGTCATGTGCCCATTCTTGAACCAAGTCCTGTCACCAGGGCAATGCAATGCCTTTTGGCTTAGGCTTGGTTCTTGAACAAGTTATTTATGAGGGGGATGAAATTATCTTTAGGCCAGTCAAGAACAGAATTGTGTTTCCATTAGATGTTTTTCTGTGAGCATGAGGAATGAGTAGATTCGTTAGTTAGGAATTATTGTTGGCTGCTGATAACAGTGCTTTAGATAACACAAATCATTTTTCTTTCAAAAACATTAGTCCGGGCGCCTGGGTGGCTCAGTTGGTTAAGCGACTGCCTTCGGCTCAGGTCATGATCCTGGAGTCCCTGGATCGAGTCCCGCATTGGGCTCCCTGCTCGGCAGGGAGTCTGCTTCTCCCTCTGACCCTCCCCCCTCTCATGTGCTCTCTCTCTCCTCTCATCCTCTCTCTCAAATAAATAAATAAAATCTTTAAAAAAAAACAACAAAACAAACATTAGTCCAAAGTAGGCGGTCTCTTACTGGCGTGGCGGTTCCACAGTGCCATCAGGCCATCTACATCTCTCTCTCATTCTGCTTCACCATCTTTATCACATGGCTGTCACTCTCATGGTCACCTTGTGGTCACCAGTGAACTTCTGGCTCTAACCAAATAGTCCTTCCTCAAGGCAGGAAAAAGTAGAAAAGGAAAGGGCAAAGGACATGCTTTTAAGTACTGGAAGTCCCAACCAACACATTCAGTTTACATCTTAATTGTCCTTTCTTATAGGTGAGGGATGCTGGGGGAATGTAGTTTCTCAGCTGGACACATTGCTGTTTCCAGCCATCTAGGGATTTTGTTGCTGTGAAAGAAAGGGAAATGGCTGTAGGCCAGGCAACATGCAGTACCCACCACAGAAGGCAGCCAGCAATCTCCACTATACCTTTCATTTGGAGGAAACCACGGTTGTTGTCTTTTTTTTTTTTTTAAGATTTTATTTATTTGAGAGTGAGAGCAAGAGAGAGAGAGTGCGTGCATGAGCAGGGGGAGGGGCAGAGGGAGAGGCAGACTCCTCACTGAGCAGGGAGCCTGATGCAGGACTCCATCGCAGGATCCTGAGATCATGACCTGAGCCGAAGTCAGACACTTAACCCACTGAGCCACCCAGGCATCCTGGAAACCACAGTTTTGTAACGTTTACTATCTATTCATGATTTTTAATCAAATAATGAGATCATATTCTACATGTGTTATAATTCATATTTTCCATTTAACAGCATCTTGAGTATCTTTTCACGTCAGTTAATATACAGTAGAAGCTTCTTCATCTCCACTTGCAGATGCTAGATTAACAGATCCTCTTCATTTTCACTATAAAATTTAGTGTTTAATTCCCATGGCCCTTTGAATGTTCTTGGCCAGTAAACAACTCTATACTATGCTATCCAATACAATAGCCACTAGGCACATGTGGCTGTTTAAATTTTAGTTAATTTAGGGGCGCCTGGGTGGCTCAGTCGTTAAGCGTCTGCCTTCGGCTCAGGTCATGGTCCCAGGGTCCTGGGATCGAGTCCCGCATCGGGCTCCCTGCTTGGCAGGAAGCCTGCTTCTCCCTCTCCCACTCCCCCTTGCTTGTGTTCCCTCTCTCACTGTGCCTCTCTGTCAAATAAATAAATAAAATCTTAAAAAAAATTTTTTTTAGTTAATTTAAATTACATTAAAAATTCATTTTCTCTATCTCAAGAGTCACCTGTGACTAGTGATTACTGTGTTGAACAGCCCAGATACAGAACATTTCCATCATTGCAGAAACTTCTGTTGGACAGCCCTGCTCCACAGCACCAGCACACTGCAGTGCTCGCCTGTGTGGGTTTCGGGAGTTTGAGTATAGTGATTAAAGTCACCAAGTTGGAACCAGACTGCCTGCATTTGAATTCTCACTCTGCCATTTACTAGTTGTGTGACTTCAGGTAAGTTCCTTAGCTTCACTGTGCCTCAGTTTCCTTATTTGTAAAGTGATGGTTACGGTGGTACCTAGACTGTGAGGAGTAAAGGATTCGATGTATGTAGAGTGCTAATAACAGTGCCCGGCACATAGTAAACAACTGTAAGTATTTGCTACCATGATGATGTGATGATGTGATAATGGTGGGGATGGTGAGGATGATGGTGGGGATGACGGTGATGACCAACAAGAGTCAGCTGGGTTTGTTCCCAAACCTGTTCGTGCCAGTTTTACTTGCTCTTGTAATTGCAAAATAACTGTTATGTTGGCTAATGAGATTTGAGAACATAAAGGGAAAAAAAGACATTGTTTTTGTGAAAAATAAGTTTAGTATGTCTGAAAGACCTGATAAAGAACAAAAAGAAAGTTCTTGTGAAATTAGAGGTAGAAGAGACCTCTGAAGAAATTGAGGAAAACAATTCATCAAAAGATAGGTTTTGCCTTCAGACTACTTTACATGGGTGTGGTTCATGCAGGAACTTTAATTACTAGAACTTATTTTCAAAGAAAAAGCCTTAAAAAAGGAAAAAGAAAAGAAAAGGCCATGGGCGCCTGGGTGGCTCAGTTGGTTAAGCGACTGCCTTCGGCTCAGGTCATGATCCTGGAGTCCCTGGATCGAGTCCCGCATTGGGCTCCCTGCTCGGCAGGGAGTCTGCTTCTCCCTCTGACCCTCCCCCCCTCCTGCTCTCTCTCTCTCTCAAATAAATAAATAAAATCTTTAAAAAAAAAAAAAGAAAAGAAAAGGCCTTGGTCCCTTATCAAGTATTAGGCAAATGAACATACATTTTTAATGAGTCCTCTCTTTAACTGGCTGTTTCTGGTTTTTGTTTTTTTAATGAATTTTACCATGATTAGTCCTGATACCATCAGGGAAGAGTGTTTTCTTTTTTAAGTTGTTTTGTAGGGATTACTGTGCATCTGTTGAAATGAGACCAAACCCTACTGTTGGACATTTACATGTTGCTTGGTTTTTAGTGTTATAGTTGGTCCTCTGGTCAACTTCTTTACAGATAAATCTTCTCTAATCAGTATGTTTTGGTCCCAGCAGTTCAGAGGAATCCTGCCCTTTTCATTGAGAGGCCCGGATTTTAATCTGGAAATGATTAGAATACCATAAAACAGGGCATGTGGGCATTCCAGCCCTAATGTTGCTTTTGGATTTAGCTCCATTTCTTCTCGTGGGCCACTTGCTGATTTTAGGTAATGCTTAATGTTTGATACACCAAAAAGTTTGGACTGTCCCAGAAATTTCAGCATAATGGAATATGTCCTGATGTGACTTCTTTTTCCAATTCACATAGCATTTTGTTTGAACTTTGCTTTTTATGGCATTTCTCATAAATAGTCCTTCTCTGTAATCATTTTTGCATTTGTGTTGTATTTGCTATTAAACTCTTAACTTGTTGAGGACAGGAATCCTTCGTTGGACCTTTATATATCCTAACATAGTGGGCCCCCACTTTGTGTTCATGGAAAGAATGGATGAATCAATGTCGCTTTCTTCTATTATGACATAGCCATCTTCCATAACACTGCCTTCGAATTCCTTGTTAGTGGAGGCTAGTCTTCTAGACTCTTTAATAGGTTAGATTCCACATTAGAGCAAAACATGTTAAATGTTTGTAAGGTGATTTTAAAACATAAACAAGGGTAGAATTGTATAAAAAGAAACCCCCATTACCCGTCATCTAGCTTCAGTAGTTATCAACATTTTAGAATCAATTTTGATTTGGACAGAGAGAACATGAGGACTCTGAAGGGCCCGTTTTGATTTTGTGGGGGAAAGAAGCAGGGCAAGTATGATGGGCAGGGTGGAGAAAAAGGAGGTGATGGCCCAGGACAAACCTGCCCACCTCCCTCCTAGAATTGTTGCGAGGGTTACGTGAGTTCACATATGAACAGTGCAAAGATCAGGGCCCCCCCATACAAGGTGAGTGCAGCTCAGTGCAGCGGCTGCCGCATCATTATTATTACCACTGCATGGCTTGAGGGAGTGGAGTTTGGCGGCAGAGGCACTTACTAACTTGGTGACCTTGGACATCAGCCTTTCTGAGCTGCAGTTTCTTCGTCTGAAAAATGAGAATGATAGTAACATCTTATATACCACATAAGGCAGTGCAATAAGGCATGTAAATGTGTTCTGGATTAATTAACGTTAGTCACAGTTTTCCAGAGTGATGTTCTGGCCTGGAGGGACCGTGCTTCTGGAATTTTTGGGAATCAAGCCTATTACTTGTATGGATTCTTGTTCTGAGACTTCACGATATTAACAGGCCCCAGAGTCATTTGACAGCCTAGCAAGTAAATATTATAGCACAATAAGCTTTGTTTCCATTTGCAAAATGTTTGTTTCTAAAGCATGAAAACAATTTTGCTTTACATAGCTTGTCCATATAAGCACTAGAAATGAAATACTTAGCAACCACGTTAATAAAGGGATAAAAATAGTTTTCCTAAGAAACAGTTTGTTGGGAATTACTGTTGGAAAAATGTTGTGGCAGAATCTGTTTCATCTTTGAAATATAAACAGATTTTCATTTGTCTTTATTTTTCTTATAACACTTTGCTCAACTCCTAATTAAAAATAGCTTTCCCAAATTCCTCCAGGATTCCTCTTAAAAAAATCAGTTTTCTTTTTCTTTTAATGAAGTCTAAGTTTGAAACACTTTGCTTTCTCCTTAGTACTGCAAAGAATTCTAGTTATGCAGAACATTCATCCAAATCACATACATATCTGTCTGAGATAAGAATTAGTAAATACTGTGGGAAGAGAAATAGAATATCCCTGGTGGTTATAATACATTTATGCAGTGTTTGTTTGGATGGGGCTATCAGCTGTCACGTCTCCTGGGCATGAGAGTTACATAAATCCCGGTCCGAAGGTCGGTGTCCTACACTTACATTCTCAGGAAGATTTTCTCTTCTCAAACTACTATTTGACATAGGTTTGACTTTTTAAAAGTTTGATTCTTGTTTTAGTTAGTAAAATTTGGCCTTGTTACCATTTGTGATTTATAGCATCTTGGACTTTTATAAACTACTTCATTCAAACAAACTAAACCCCCATTGTGGACCCACAAATAACAACATAAATAAATACAAAATGCGGTTTTGTCTCAAAAAGAGCAATATCCTAATGCTACTATTTGGCCCCAGTGACATATGACCTCTCTTAGCTTTATTTCTCATAGACTGTTCTATTTAAATGTTTTATTACACAGTTTCTTTTCTTGATGCTTTTTCCTGGGTTTCCAGTATATTTTGTTGATATTTCTTTCGAAAAGATCTAACTCACATCATCTCTAGTAGTCATCCAGCCAATGTTGTATTAGAATATAGGCTTCTTCTAATTTATTTTATTTTATTATTAGGATTTCATTTATTTATTTGAGAGAGAGAGAGTGCGTGCACACAACCAGCACGGGGCAGGGAGGGGCAGAGGGAGAGGGAAAAGCAGGCTCCCCACTGAGCAGGGAGCCCAGCATCCAGGACCCTGGGATGATGACCTGATCCAAAGGCAGACGCTTAACCAGCTGAGCCACCCATGCGCCCCAGTGCTTCTTCTAATTTAAATCTAATTTAACCTTCTAGATTGGTTCTAGAGATGTTGACAGGAAAAATGTTGGATTTTTAGAATCATGGGAATGCTTACTTCTCTGTGATACATGTTTACATCTCCTTGAGTGAAAAGGAAGTTAGAAATGTACTCCTTGATCTAACTTGTTGATCATTGAAAAATGAAATTTGGAACTAGTTTTAACTTCTGAAGAAATTAGAAGATTTTTATCCCGTTTATGAGGTGTACCTTCACTTTTTTATATACTAGAACTTTAGGATCAATTTTTTTCTTTCATTTCAACATATATTGAGCACCTACTATGTGCTTAGTATTGTGTTGGGTGTTTTACATATATTCATTTAATTCTCAGAGAAGCACTGGGTAGGTAGATAGGATTTAAATACCCAGGTGCTTAAACTGAAAACCTTCTTCCTTGATCCTCTTACTGTCCTGTCCACCCCCAGTCCATTTGGCTACATTGCCGTAATAGCAAAATACACACTGCTCCTTCTGCAACCTGTGAGCTGTCAGCAGCATTGGCTGCCTCCTCACAGGTCTCCCTGATTCCCTTTTTTTTAAAAATTTAAATTCAATTAATTAACATATAGTGTATTATTAGTTTCAGAGGTGGAGTTCAGTGATTCATCAGTCTTATATAACACCCAGTGCTCATTACATTATGTGCCCTCCTTAATGTTCATCACCCAGGTATCCCATCCCCTGACCCCCCTGCCCCCCAGCAACCCTCAGTTTGTTTCCTATGATTAAGAGTCTCTTATTGTTTGTATCCCTCTCTGATTTCATCTTGTTTTATTTTTTCCTCTCTTCCCCTATGCTCCTCTGTTTTGTTTCTTAAATTCCACATATGAATGAGATCATAAGATAATTGTCTTTCTCTGATTGACTTATTTCGCTTAGCATAATATCCTCCAGTTCCATCCTTGTCATTGCAAATGGCAAGATTTCATTTTTTTTTAAAGATTTTATTTATTGGGCGCCTGGGTGGCTCAGTTGGTTAAGCGACTGCCTTCGGCTCAGGTCATGATCCTGGAGTCCCGGGATCGAGTCCCGCATCGGGCTCCCTGCTCGGCGGGGAGTCTGCTTCTCCCTCTGACCCTCCTCCCTCTCATGCTCTCTCTCATTCTCTCTCTCTCAAATAAATAAAATCTTTAAAAAAAAAAAAAAAGATTTTATTTATTTATTTGACAGACAGAGACACAGTGGGAGAGGGAACACAAGCAGGGGGAGTGGGAGAGGGAGAAGCAGGCTTTTCGCTGAGCTTCTGATGCGGGGCTCGATCCCAGGACCCTGGGATCATGACCTGAGCTGAAGGTAGACGCTTAACGACTGAGCCACCCACATGCCCCAAGATTTCATTTTTTTTTGATGGCTGAGTTCTA